GGTGTCTGGTTATGAGGCTCACTCTCTAGCACCTGGCCAGACAGGATAAAATTCACCTCGACAAGACACAACACAAAGGGACCAAAGCACAAATGTACTCACGACAATAATAACCCTACTATAAGTGACCACCTAAGAAAAAAAAAATTAAGGGCGAGAAAAGAGAGCATAAATGATATCGAAGAGAGTGAAAAAGATAGGAGAGAAAAGAAGAAGGAAGAAAAGGAGATTATACATAATTATATATAATTATATATGGGGAAAACACAACAGAACCAATACATAAACAAACAAACAAACAAAAACTAATAATTAAAAAAAATAAATAAATAAAAATAAAAACACAAAAATACAAACACCAAACCCGCAGCAAAGAGGGTGGGGGCAGAATCTGTAGTTACTGAGCTTATATATAGAAGATAATGTTAAAAGTTGGATGAGTGTGGGGAGGATCACAGTTCAGTATAGAGGAAGTAGAAAGGGGATGGGTGGATAAGAGGAAAGAGAACGACAAAAAAAAATAATAAATTTACAAAAAAAATTGATTTCAAAAATGGTATAAAAATAGCAAATAAAAATAAAATGAAATAGAGTGATGGAAAAATAATGTGAAAAGAAATAGAAAATAAAGCAACAAACAAAAACAGGAAAACAAAGAAAAAAAGAGATAACAAAGTAATAAAAAAACAAAATAAAATAAAAATAAAAAAGTGAAGTGCTCCTTTGGCTGGCTTGAGATCCTAGTCTTTTGTACTGTAGTGTTTCTCAGGATCCGATTGCTGGGACTGAAAGACCCTCTTTAGTCCAGCCCCTTTGTACTCTCAGGGACTATTTAGGTTTTTTTGTTTTTGTTTTTTTAAATCTTTTTACTGTTCAGGGTGGAATCTGGGTGTGGCTGTATTAGTTGCCTGGATACTGGAGGGAGGAGCTATCTCTTTGGGGCAAAATGGCTGCCCAGGTCCCAGGCTCAGGCATGACTCAGCACCACACTCGCTGCCACTTCTCCTGGGTCCCCCTCTTCCCCCAGATTCCACAATTCTGCACCTTCTCCCACGCTCCAGCCACGGGTAAGTGTCTGTATCTGAAAGGTCCTATCAACTAGGCTCTATGAAGAAAGGCACAAGCCACAGAGGCCAGAGAGGCTGCACCTCTGCGCACTCTCCTGCCAGCATTCTTCAGCCTTTACTGACTGTGGACCCAGATCTAGAATTCCTTGCAAGGGGGGAAAGGCTTTGCCTCTGTGCACTCTTCTGCCGGCACTCCTCAGCCTTTCCTGATTGTGAACCCAGATCTAGAATCCCCTGCTGACCAGCAGTTCTGTGTACCTTTTTTCCACTGCGCCTGTCCCAAGGGATGCAGCCCAAGCTGGTGCTGTGTGGGTTCCCTCGGAGACTCAGGGCTCAGCAGTCTGGCCGATTATCCTTCCCAGAGCCTTGACTTTACCTTTCTCCAGGAGTCCTCTGCCTTTCCTGGCTGCAAGCTGTCTCCCAGCTGACTCTCCTCTGCCAATTCGGGCTGGATATTACTTATTTCAGCTGCTCACCCTATCTGCTCTGGGACAAGGCATGGGACACGTCTGTCTATACTGCCGCCATTTTGTCTTCTCTCCCATAAGCATAATCTTAATCAACCAGTATGGAATGTTCCAGTCAAGCCCAAGAAAGGTAATCTGTCCATTCCACATAGAAAGGCTCTCTCTATTCCACATAGAAAGAAGAGACAATCTATATAATAGAAACCTTCGTCTTTCCTTCCCCCAAAGAAAAGTTGTTCCAGA